AAAAACGATGAGTTTGTGTCCTTTCCAGGGACATGGATGAACCTGGAAACTATCATTCTCAGTAAACTGACACAAGAGCAGAAGATCAAACACCGCATGTTCTCACTCATAGGCGGGTGTTGAACAATGAGAACACATGGACACAGGGAGGGGAGCACTACACACTAGGGTCTGTTGGGGGGAAATAGGGGAGAGACGGTGGGGGGTGGGGAGTTGGGGAGAGATAACAAGGGCAGAGATGCCAGATGCAGGTGATGGTGAGGAAGGCAGCAAATCACGCTGCCACGTGTGTGCCTATGCAACAATCTTGCATGCTCTTCACATGTACCCCAAAACCTAAAATGCAATAAAATAAATTTTAAAAAAAAGACTCCATCTCAAAAAAAATCTACCCCCTTGGAAAATTTTTAAGTATATGATATAGTATTATTAACTATAGGCACCATGCTACATATGAATTTTTTTAATTTAATAGAATATGATACCTTCAATGCCTACCTCAGAACTCTAAGAATGATGTTGGAGACTGGACATGCAGAATGAGAGATCTTAACATTTTTAATCTTCCTACAGCTGGAGAGATGGAACGCCAGTGATATACCAGAACTGGGACACAGGAAGAGAAAGAACTGTGAATAATCAGAGCCACAGATGTGGCTTTATTTCTTCCATAACAGGTTATCTTACTTATCCATTTGGGGGTTTATAATACAAAGTGATAATTTTCAGGAGGCTTAAAGTCTTTTCCATGCATCATTTCCATGAGGAGTTTCTGTTTATTTCTCTTTTTAGTTGATGTGTTCAGTTTTGTCTGCCGTAAGGCTTAAGGGTGGCTGTTCCTTCTGTTCAATCCATGTACTCATGTTCTTGAAAATAATTTACATCTGGATAAGTCCTTCCTCAGAAATCAGAACAGCACCAGAAATGGGCCCAATGAAACTGTTAAAAAATATATGGCTGACAAATACTTTTCTCTATGAAATTTCAATGTAGCACTTTTTAAAATATATATATATATATCTGGTATCCAATTTATAATTGGCCAGAACTTTAGCCTCTGTGAAACTCGCTTCCATTTTCCTATTTAATAAATGTTTTGATTCAAGTCAGTATTCTTTTTTCCTTTCAATATCTGGCATCAATTGCTGCCTGCCTTAGAAACGCAATTGTCTGCAAGTTGGATTTAGAAGCACATTCAGGTTGAAGATTGGATTTTAAATTCTCTTCATCAGTGCAGTGTAGTTAGGTCGATTGTCCACTCATGCTCCTTCTTTTGAAACAATAAAAGATAACAATATCTGCTACTCTAACAGATTCACAACTAACCTGTGCCCTAGACCAGGAAAGGGATAAACATGGAAAATAATTTTGGATATGAGGGCCTCTGCAGAGACTTAGGAAAGGAAAATCCGTGTGGTTAATCAGCTTGCTTTTACCAGCAGGTGTCACAACAGCCTACAGAAAGGACTGTTTTGAGAGTCTGGGAGCATGGCAACTAATCTGCATTGAAAATAGCATTCCAGCCCTTGCTTCAAAGTGCCAGCATCTTTTGGCTCATATTCCTGATCTAGAAAACTGAGCCTTCCCTTGCAATTGGCATGCATTCTGCCCTGTTCTGGAATCTATGACTTGGATGCCAACAAAATGCATTCTATAATCCTTATTCTGAAAATATACCTCTTCTAAATTAAAAGAAAAAAGTCAGTTTGTCGGAGGCTAAAGATTTGAGGATGTGTCTAACTGAGGACATGCCTATATGTGAGTCTGTTTTATTTAAGGGTCAATATTAAGAAATCCTATTTTCTTGAAAGTTTTTGAGTTAATTTTTCTAAATTATTATATTTTCTAAAGAATTATAAAATAGGAATTATCTACTGTTTTAGAATCTTTCCTCTCTGCATATTGAAGCTGAAGGGTTTAAAATGAAATTGTTACCCTACAAAGTATTCTTTTGCCACACAAGTCAAATATTTTAGGACCTTAATCAGTTCTATATTCCAATTGCAGTATTTAGATTTTTTTTTAATTTGCAAAATTTCTACATTCTTAAAATTACTGATTTGACCCCTTGCCCAGTTAGCTGTTGTCCTTCCAGAACTCTATGATCTGTAGTTTAGTTCAGTTTCTAGATTTTAAAAAATAAATTATGAAAAACCATAGCAGTCATAAAATTAGTGATCAATAGAGAATGCCTTCAAAGAGTCACCATTGTGTCTAAGCCATTTCTAACCCATTTTCTCCTCCAGGACTCTGGGGTAGTGAAAAGTGTTCAGTTTCTATGCCTAGTATCTGTAAGCGAAAAAAGGTTTGGCCAGTAGAAAAAAAGGAAGATACACCTAAACAACATGGAGCGTGTCCCAAAGGATGGCTATATTTTAACTATAAGGTAAGCTTGTTTTTCAAAAGTTGCCTTTGTTTTTCTTTTGTAGACACTAATTTTGGAAAGCGTTCAAAAAGTGAAAGTGGCTTTTAAAAGCTATGACTTGTCCATAGGACCTGGAATTTTTTTGTCACAATTTTCAAGAAATTTTAGTTTTCCATTTAGTAACAAATCTTTTAGAACAAAAAAATTTTTGTCAGAAACAGTCTGGACACTACTCCTCATTTCTTTCTTTTTTTTTTTTTTTTTTTTTTCTAGATGGGAGTCTCACTTTGTTGCCCAGGCTGGAGTGCAGTGGCATGATCTCAGCTCACTGCAACCACTGCCTCCTGGGTTCAAGCGATTCTCCTGCCTCAGCCTCCTAAGTAGCTGGGAATACAGGCACCCACTACCACATCCAGCTAATTTTTGTATTTTTAGAAGAGATGGGGTTTCATCACGTTGGTCAGGCTGGTCTCGAACTCCTGACCTTGTGACCCGCCCACCTTGGCCTCCCAAAATGCTGGGATTACAGGCGTGAGCCACCACACCCAGCACTACTCCTCATTTATATACCTAGTTTTACCATTGGCATAGTCATTTATTATGCTATGTGAATATTTCATTAGATGTAACGTATGTATGTATGCATATGTGTGTGTGCATATGCATGTGTGTGTTTATGTGTGTGTGTGTGCGCGCATGTGTATGTATGTGCCTGCATGCCTGTATGTCTAGGTTCTGCTCCCAAATAAGCTGTAAATTCCAGAAGACCCAGACTCCATCTCCTTGTCTTGTGTTTTCCCTGCCTGGAGCCAGCATAGAGCTCTGCCTACAAGTGAATTGAGGGACTAGTAACTTAGCTTGGTCAATGTCATCTTAGCCTCATAAAGCTAGTGCTTCCATGCAGAACTGAATTAAGAAAAAAAAATTGCCGGTGGCGATATTTTAAACCAGATTTATTATTTCTGATGCTGCCTTCAATTAAGGCCTAGACTTTCCCTCCACTCCTTATATTTTATAATAAAATAAGTTTATAGGCCTTAGGTGGAAGTTATTAAAATGCATCCCAAATTATAATTGTTTAACTCTTAGAAAATTAAAGAACCCAAACTGTGTCATCATTTCATATGCTAATATGAAATTCCTCTTCAATCATGGACAGTCAATTTTTAATCTAAGCGTTCAGTTATATTGGCAGGGCTTTCTCTCCTTTGTGATCTTTCTCTCATTGTTAATTTGAGAAATGAGGCCACTTGGATTTTTCACACATTCATTGAGTACCCACTAGATATTTGGCAGTGATTTTTAAATTTTTTTAATTTGTGTAAAATACATACAATATAGAATTCACCATTCTAGCCATTTTTGTTTACTGTTTACTACTGTTAAGTATCATATATTCACACTGTCATTCAACAAATCTCCAGACCTTTTCCATCTTGCAAAACTGAAACTCTACCCAGGAGTGTAGAGTTCTTTTAATTTGCAAAACGTCTACATTCTAAAATTAAAATTACTGATTTGGCTGCTTGCCCAGTTAGCTGTTGTCCCTAGAGAGCTCTATGATCAGTAGTTTAGTTCAGTCTCTAGATTTAAAAAAATAAATTATGAAAAACCACAGCAGTCATAAAATTAGTAATCAATAGAAATGCCTTCAAAGAGTCACCGTTGTGTCTAAGCCATTTCTAACCCATTTTCTCCTGCAGTAAATGACTCCCTATTCTTCCTACCCTGAACCCCTTGACAACTACTGCTCTAGTTTCTGTGTCTTTGAACTTGACTACTTTAGATACCTCAAATAAGTGGAATCAGACAGTATTTGCCTTTTTGTGACAGGCTTGTTTCACTTAGCATGATGTCCTCAAAGTTCATTGACACTGGCATGTGACAGGACTTCCTTTTGACAGTTGGACAATATTCCATTATATGTATATACTACATTTTGTTTATCCATTCATCCATTGGTGGACGTTTGAGTTGCTTCCCCTCTTAGCTAATTGATTTTATATATATTTCTTCTATCACTGAATTTTAAAAATATATACAATTGCTTTCCCCATTTTACATATGAGAAGACTGATGCTAACAAAATTGTGTGTCTTTTCTGAAACTTTACAGTGGATAAATATCAGGCCAAGAAGCACATTGTTTTCTGACCCTGAGTCTGGTGTCTTGCCCGTTTCCAACGCCTGCCACTTCACGTTGGAACTTAAGGACTCACTCCAGAAATGCAAATTAAAACAACAATGAGTGATTTGCCACTGCACATCTACTAGAATGGCCCAGATCCAGAGCACTGACAACACTACATGCTGGCAGGGAAGCAGAATAACAGGAGCTCTCATTCATTCCTGGTGGGAATGCAGAATGGTGTGGCCACTGTGGAAGGCAGTTTGACAGTTTCTTACAAAACTAAACATATTTTTACCCTATGATCCAGAAATCACACTCCTTAGTTGAAAACTTACGTACACATAAAAACCTGTCCATGGATATTTATAACAACTTTATTCTTAATTGCCAAAACTTGGAAGCAACCAAGAAGTCCTTAGTAGGTGAATGGATAAACTGGTACACTCACACAATGGAATATTATTCAGTACTAAAAATAAATTAGCCATCAAGCCATTAAAAGACATGGAGGAAACGTAAAGTCATATTACTAAGTGAAAGATGCCAATCTGAAAAGGCTACCATACTGTATGATCCCAACTATATGACATTCTGGAAAAGATAAAACTATAGAGACAGTAAAAAGAACAGTGGTTGCCAGGTGTTACAGGGAGGGAAGGAAGAGGTTGTAGAAGATTCTTAGGGCAATGAAAATTCTCTGTATGATACCACAATGGTGGATGCATGTCATTAGACATATGTACAAACTCATAGAATATACAACCCAAAAAGTGAACCCTAAAGTAAACTATGGACTTTGGATGGTTATGATGTGTTAATGCAGGCTCATCGGTTGTAACAGATGTATCATTCTGGGCTGATGGGGCATGTTGATAATGGGGGAGGCTGTGTGTGTGTGGTGCAGGGGATATATGGGAAATCTCTGTCCATTTCTTTATTTTTTATTTCATTTATTTTTTTATTTGAGATGGAATCTCACTCTGTCATCCAGGCTGGAGTCCAGTTGCATGATCTTGGCTCACTGCAAACTTCACCTCCCAGGGTCAAGTGATTCTCTTGCCTCAGCATCACAAGTAGCTGGAGTTACAGGCGCCTGACACCACACCCAACTAATTTTTGTATTTTTAGTAGAAATGGGGTTTCACCATGTTGGCCAGGCTGGTCTTGAATTCCTGACCTCAGGTGATCTGCCCGCCTTGGTCTCCCAAAGTTGTACCTTCCTCTTAATTTTGCTGTAACCTAAAACTGCTCTTTAAAAAATGAAGTCTTTAATAATACTCTTTAAAAAAAAGTTGCTGCATCAGCTTTGCCCCATGACACAATCAGCTCAGTGATACTGTGAGATATTTTCTAGAATAATGCAATTGTACTCTAAAACTTTACTATAGTATTGAGGTACACTATTTTTAATCATTGCTGCTCTCTGTAAACTTCCTATTTTCACAAACTAGAAAATCTCTCTACCAGGTATAAACTATTTTCACATTTCAATGTGAGAAACTTGTAGCTAATATTCAATAAGACATTGAGTATTACTAAGTCTTTTATTAAAAGCTTTGACAATTAGTTTTTTAAAGCATCTTTATGGTCATAAATTTGCCATTTTAACCATTATTGAGTGTACAATTCAGTGGCATTAATTACATGCATAATGTTATACAACCATCATCTCTAGTTCCAAAACATTCTCGCTATCCCTAACAGAAACTCTGTTACCATCAAACACTAACTTCCTGTTTCCCAACTCCTAGTAACTTCTAGTCTATTGTCTATCTCTATAAATATGCCTATTCTAGATATTTTATATTAGCGAACTCATACAATATTTGTCCTTGTGCTAGCATGATGTTTTCAAGGTTCATTTGTGTTTTAGCATATATCAACACTTAACTCCTTCTTGTGGCTGAATAATATTCCTGTGTGGCATGGGCGTGTGTGTGTGTGTGTGTGTGTGTGTGTGTGTGTGTGTGTGTATTGCACATTCTGTTTATTCATTCATCTGTTGATGGACACTTGGGTTGTTTTCACCCTTTGAATATTGTGAATAATGCTTCAATGAACACCGGTGTGTAAGTCTGTTCAAGTCCCTATTTTCAATTCTTTTGAATGTATACCTAGGAATAGAATTGCTGGGTCATATGGTAACTCAATAGTTAGCCTTTGGAGAGGATGTGGAGAAATAGGAGCACTTTTACACTGTTGATGGGAGTGTAAATTAGTTCAACCATTCTGGAAGACAGTGTGGCGATTCCTCAAGGACCTAGAAATAGAAATTCCATTTGACCCAGCAATCCCATTACTGGGTATATATCCAAAGGATTACAAATCGTTGTACTATAAGGACACGTGCACACGAATGTTCATTGCAGCACTGTTTACAATAGCAAAGACCTGGAACCAACCCAAATGCCCATCGACGATAGACTGGATAGGGAAAATGTGGCACATATACACCATGGAATATTATGCAGCCATCAAAAACGATGAGTTTGGGTCCTTTGTAGGGACATGGATGAACCTGGAAACCATCATTCTCAGCAAACTGACAGAAGAGCAGAAGATCAAACACCGCATGTTCTCACTCATAGGCGAGTGTTGAACAATGAGAACACATGGACACAGGGAGGGGAGAACTACTCACTGGGGTCAGTTGGGGGGAAATAGAGGAGGGACGGTGGGGAGTGGGGAGCTGGGGAGAGATAGCAAGGGGAGAAATGCCAGATGTAGGTGATGGGGAGGAAGGCAGGAAATCACACTGCCACATTTGTACCTGTGCAACAATTTTGCATGTTCTTCACGTGTACCCCAAAACCTAAAATGCAATAAAATAAATAAATGGGAAAAAAACAGCCTTTTGAGGAATTGACAAAAGTTCTTCTACAGTGACCAAA